AATCTCTCTTCAGATAGGAGCAATCTTCATCGAGGAAACGAGCCAAGTCGAGTTGTAAAGATAAATACATTTTCTGGCCATTCTTTTAAAGTCAGTTCTGAGATTTCTCTAGCTTCTCTCCATGACTTATTTGTATTCATCACAGGAGAGGGGGTTGTGCAAGCAGCCACCACAGTAGTACTTGTTTGGGTCATTAGTTTCAGTAGCCATCAATTCTAATATATAAAACAAAATTATAATTAGAATTTACATACCACAGAAAATAAACCAAATTCACAGAATTAAATTCTGTAAAAAAAGAAACAAGAATAACGTTTTATTTCCAATTAATTTGAAATTTAAAATTAAAATTTTATTTAAACAAATTAATTCCACACAAAAATTAAATTCTGTAAAATAAAGAAATAAAAAAAAACTATAACTTTTTATTTTTCAATTAGTTGGAAATAAAATAAAATTTATTTTAACCAAATAATTCCACACAGAAAATTAAATCCTGTAAAATAAAAGAGAATAAGAATATAACTTTATTTTTCAATTCATTTGGAATAAGATAGAAATTTATTTAACAAATTAATTCCACACAAGAAAATTAAATTCGATAAAATAAAAGAATAAAATATAACTTTTATTTTTTCAATTAATGTTGGAAATAAAATAAAATTTATTAACCAAATTGAATTTCACATCAGAAATTTCAAAATTCTTGTAACACCTCGCAATAATTAAAATATTGAAAAAAAAATAAAAAAAAAAAAAAAAAAAAAAAAAAAAAAAAAAAAAAAAAAAAAAAAAAAAAAAAAAAAAAAAAAAAAAAAAAAAAAAAAAAAAAAAAAAAAAAAAAAAAAAAAAAAAAAAAAAAAAAAAAAAAAAAAAAAAAAAAAAAAAAAAAAAAAAAAAAAAAAAAAAAAAAAAAAAAAAAAATCAGAATTTTAATGTAACGAAACTCAGAACATAAATTTCTAAACCAAATTAATTCTGAGATGGACAATTTGCACAAAAAATATATTCTGAATGTTAAGACACAGTATCGTACTACTATTGTCAAAGAAAAGAGGACAGTATATCTACACTATCTGCAATATAGCATATAATACATTGTTTTCCAACTAGAATATGTTATTTGTAATTCACAGAAAATAATTTTCTTAAAGAAGATAAGAGAAAAGGAAAAAAAAAAACGAAAAAATCTGAAACCAAAATTCTGTCTTAAGATTGTTGGAAAATCTTCGTGTAAATAAAATACAACTGAAAAATAAACAAATAAAATAAAATAAACTTACAGAAGATTATTTTGTTGAACCGAATCATAATTAAAGACCAATCAGTGTGTACCACTCTGTCCTTAAGACAGACTTCGCCCCGATAGGTGCCTTACGTTGACGTGGCGCTCTATCTCCCATGATACAATGATTCTTAACCAATTATGTAGAGCACTCCAAAATAAATTGTTTACGAATCAACCTTGTTCTAACTCTCTAAATATCTATCCCCCAAACTTATATATGGAGAATAATGCACTAAAAGGAGAATGACAGCAAAAGCACAAAATTCAGACTCAGGTTTTTCCGGATTCGGACTGCTGAAAGGATATGTATATGGGGTGTTTGGTGAGGCTTTTTAGCCAACTATGGTCTGGACTTTTGGCTTTTTAAAAGTCTATTTTAGACTGGTGTTAAACTTATTCAAACAACTTCTATTCTAACAACTTATTTAAGTCAAAAAGCTGATTTGAGAAGCTGCTCAGCCCTTTGCTTCTGATTATCAACTTTTGCTGGGGACATGTTAATTTACGGTTATACTCTTAGATTTTTTTATTTTTTATTTTTTTTTAAAATAGGAAAAGATCCAATAGACTATAAATATTATTATATTTTTTATGAGAAATGTAGACAATAGTGAAAAAAAAAATAAATAAATAATGAAAAAGCTACTTTAACAGCTGTATTTGAAACAAACATTACTCAGTAACTAAGATCTATAATCCACAGCTATACAACAGATTAAACACTTCTGATTAAGTCATAATCAGTAACTGTAAGCTATAATGTATAATCTTTTAACAGCTACATAACAGCACCTAAAGCCCACTTGACCTTTTCAAACATACCTGAGATGGTATTTATTTGAAGAAGAAGAAGGTGCACCACTATATCAAACGAGTTTGACGTTGTAAAAAATTCAAACAACTTGAAAGAAAGTTCCGTTAGTGGAATTTGAAAAGTTTGTCCATAGTGCCAACTTGTTCCAACTGATGTGCTTATAATTAAACTATATAAATATATATATATATATATATATAACTATTTAATGTTTGAAATAATAATAAAGAGTAAAATTTAGGAAATCGTTTATGAACCTTAAATTTAAATTTTAGAATTAATTAAATTCCCAGCAATTACAAACTTTAGGGAAACCCACTTAGGAACCTAAAATTTGAATTTAGAATTAAATTAAATTCCCAAATAATTTTTATTGAAAAAATTCAAAAGAATTTTATCTAAAAGATTAATGTTAGACCTGAAAACGACGTCAACTTCCCATTCACTCATAAATGGTTTTGACGTACCGTCTTCACCGTGTAACTTGCCACGCGGCAAGGAACACTTCACCTCTTCAGACCCACCCAAAAGACGTTTGGGACCCACTCAAATTTGGGCTCAAAAAATATGCCTATATTAAATCATTTTTCCAACAGGTAGTACCTTGAACTCAGTTTGCAAATGTCTCCAATGACAAATGAGGTAAAATTAGAATAAACATAACACATTTATTTAGGAAAATTTTCAAATGGGTTGAATTAATCTAATTTCAAACAAACCGTCCAAATTTTTAACACAATGATAATAAAATATAGTTATGGTCCTTAGAGAATGTGCTACCTATCAGTTTTCGTCGTAAAGTTTGTGATTTTGTTCTATTGGTCCCTAAACATGTATGAAGAAGACAAAACATAGTCTTACCTTGTTTAGGGATGAAATTGAAAATTTAGAAACTAAAGTAACACAAAATGCATACTTTAGGGACTAATATGTGTTTTATTATTATTAGGTTAATGATTTAGACAATCTTAACGTTTTAGAGTTAGTTAAATGGCCATTTACATTTGTTCCGCCATTCATGATATCGTAAATGCATAATATGTTGAATTGTTATACTTCAAATTATTTGTGTCAAGTATCTGCCTTTCTTTCCTCATTTCTAAATTATTCATGATCCCATAATTAATTAATTACTTCGCTATATGTTTCAGGGGTTGAAGTTGATCAAGAGTCATGGATGTATTCGTGTATATTAACTGAAGGATGACTTTGACCCATGACCAATGAAGACTGTATTTTTGTACATTATAAATTGAGATAGATTTGGAGGCATGTGTACTTTTGTTGTGGTTGATGTATGGTTAATGTTTAAACTGACCGTGCAAGACAAAAAAATTTGCATGTCATCTGTAAATGATGTGTATGTAAATAATTGCATTTGGTACATCGGTGGATACCATCGTTAGACTAGGTATCACACAATTGAGGGAGTATCACTCCTGATTTTTTTTACCCTTAAATGTTTGGTGAGTTTTTTTAGGAGGTGGTGATGGCCAACGGCGAGGGTGCCTGGTCGTGGGGGTGGTCAGAGCTGGTGATCAAAATGTTGCTAAAGGTCACAGGGTGGCCAAAGGGTGGTCCGAGGTCACGGAGGTTGATCGGAGTGTGTCAATGAAGATAGGCCGGTCGGTGGTGACCGGTGGTGATTTATAGTGATGGTGGTGGTTGGAGGTGGTAAGGGAGGAGAGATTGAAAACTTATTTTGAAAACAAAAAAATAAAAATAAAAATAAACTTTTTATTTCTATTTTTAAAAAAAAATTAATTCGATTAAACTTTTATGAGAACAAAAACAATATACCAAACAAGTGAAATTAATTCAAAAATATAGTGCAAGTGAAGTATGCGTTCTAGTGCAAATAAGGCCGCAGTTTTCACTTGCACCAAAGCACAAGAACATAAATCTCCCAAATTTTCTTCCTTAGTCATTGTCCTTCAAAACTGCTCATATGGAAATGGGCAGCATCTTTAAAAACAAGAAGGAACTGAACATTTGCAACCAATATTTTAGTTATCCATTCAGCAATATTCTCAAGCAACTCTTGTACAAGCATGACATGATACTACCACCAAATTAGAGGTTGGGGTTGCTTTTAAATTTGAAGCGAGCTTCAAATGCCGGTACGCAAGTATAGTGCTCTTTTTTAGCTATGATCAAGATCAAGATAAAGACAACTGAACCTACTTGATAATTTGCCATTATCGCCACTAAGAAGAGCTTTCACAATTTCCTTACACCATAGAAAAGATTGAATCAAAGATTAAGAAGTTTCAAACTTTCTATTACATATCCATTGGAACTAGTATTTTAGTGTTTTTCTGCTTGGGTTGTATGAGGTGGAATTCTCATATACAGTTCTAAGAGGGGCAGTCTAACCTATCTCAAATAAAGAAGTGTGAACATACAGTGCTCATCAAAGGTGCAGCAATGCTTTCTCTGAGATTGACTTCCACATCAACCTCGGCAGGAAGGTCAAGCTGCATCAAGGAATCAATCATTTGGGCAGTCGGGTATAGAATATCAATGAGGCGCTGATGCGTTCTGATCTCAAAATGGAACCTGGCATCTTTGTGGACATGTGAAGATCTAAGTACACAATAAATTCGCTTCTTGATTGGTAACGGCACAGGACCCATGGTCTTTGCACTGGGAGTCCTTGCGGCATCCGTTATTTGCTTGCATGAGCCCTCTATCAATCGCACCCAATATGACCCAAGTTTAATCCTAATTTTCTGCTTTAGTGCCATCTGAGAATTGGCAAAAAAACATAATAAGACGACCGGAATGTCACTAAAACTACTGAATATTAAAAAAAATATATAAGATATATCTAGTTGAAAATTCAGTTTCATTTATGTTGTGTTTGATTGAGGGATTTAAATAGAGATTTGGAAAGGGAAATGGAAAAAGTAGGTGAAATGTGAATAAAACATGTCTATATTTCACCTAGTTTCACACATCTTTTCCTTTTCCCTTTCCAAATCCCTCCTCAAATCCCCTAACCAAAGACAGCATTAATCTTGAATGATTTACATAGACTTCCAAGATATTTGACTAAACAGATTGCCATCAAAAGCTTAAATTAAACAACTGACATTTATCCAATGCAAGACTATTTTAATGACTAGTTATTCTTTTTCAAAAGATTATCATGTTGGGTATGTGGAGCCTAATTAGTACTGTACACCTCACCATGAAGTTGTGAATCCAACTTGGCAGTGAGTTGGGCGGAGGGGTTGCATGCGGCAGCCAGCCTGAACGTGGGAGTTTGGGGGGTGAACCCTAACATATACATTAAGCAGCCAATTTGTACTCTTTTCTTTTCTTTTTTCAATATAGTGAAACTAGTGTGAGCCAATCTTGCCAAACAGCGTATCTCTGTATGTCATGCTTTTTTTATTTGTAATTGATTCTTCTTGCTATTGTGTATTTGGTTAATTCCTCAACATATCACCATTCTTCTATTCTTTCTTATCAAATGTAAAAACATATGTACTCTATTTTTCATAAAATTTGAGAGACAAATGACATTTTAGAGCAAGAATCACAGTCCCACTACAGACGATTGTGGAGCCTTTACCACCCAAATGGTTATTTTGGGCTCTATTTCTACATACAAACATGTTGTTCAAAATTGTGAAATTAAATATAAATAGATTTATGAAGAAACAAATTATATACAAGAACATATGCTTGATAATTACAACTAAATTTCAACAGAAATAACACAAAACAATAAAGGGTAAAGGACAAAACCGAAACCCTGACGGAAGCAAGTTTCCTTAAACAGATTTCGCCGCCTCACGGGTCGAGTGCTTGAGGAAACCCGGCGTCCTGTCTCCAGGATAGCGACGGTCAAAAACCAGCTACGCAGAAGCACTATCTGTCTAGCTTAGCGAAATAAAACAATGGCAGCACTCTCTCACAATAGGAACTATCAAGCAAACTGACTTGTAAA